TATTATAGTAAATGTAGTAATGTTACCCAGAGATATATTTGAGGGCTCACTTGTGACCCATCCCATGTCCATCCAAGAGAGGTGGGTTAGTGCAGCTCGGACAAGCCATTGTATCTCTGCCCAGAAAGCCAGTTAGCGGCTAGCTGACTAAGCTATCAGAGTTAGCTCCAACGACGGACACAAGTTATAGCAAGGACTGCAAGGGACATAACACTTTAGACAGGCGAGGCTGCTTGTGACATTATCCACCAAATTTCCCCTTGTGGGACAATTAAAGGATTATTCTATTCTATCCACTCTGCCATAGCCTGGTTATAGACTCAGCACCCGAGTGCCTTCATTGTTATGTATGGGTCCAGCCTATTGTCATGCCACAACAGGATCCCCTTCAGTTCCCCCACCAGCCCCGCCTCGGTTGAGGACACCATCATCTACCTGCTCAATCGTGTCTACGCCCATCTGGACCAGCTCTCTACCCTTTACACCACAGACTTCAGCCACTGCACAGAGACCTGCCATCTTCAGAAGTTTTCTGATGACTCTGTGTTGGTTGGATACATGGGTGATGAGAGGGAGGCTGTGAGTAAGTCCTTTGTCACATGGTGCAAGCAGAATCCTTTGCAGCTCAATGTGACAAAGACCAAAGAATTGATTGTAGGCGTCCTCAGGATGTACAAACTGGACTCCAACCTGCTGCTGACCTTCTACTGCTCGTCCATTGAGAGCCCGCTGACATACTGCATCACAGCATGTTATGACAGTTGCACTAAGGCGGATAGAGGAGTAGTCAAGGCAACACATAAGATGATCTGCGGCCCTTTCCCCTCCCTGATGGACATCTATTCCTTCTGCTGCCTCAACAGAGCAACAAACATCATCAAGGACAGCTCCCACCCTGGTTTTGACCTGTTCAACCTGCTTCCCTCAAGAAAGTGCTACAGGTGCATCAGAACAAAGACTGACAGACTCAAAAATAGTTTCTTCCCAAAAACCTATAACCACCCAGAACTCACACATTCACTGACTACTTCTTTTTGGCTCTAACGGAGGCGGTCGCATCTCTTTCCCTCTCCCTCATCTTATCTTTCCTGCTGTGCTTCTTATGTCTAGTTTTGTCTAACTTTAACCCTCAGAGAGTCTCTCAGTCTTGTTCTCTAAAACCTAAAGATGGGCTCTGACTACCCAGACTGTTCTTATTGAACACAGACCATTGATGGACATTTAGATCTGCTGTAAAATTGGATGCAGCTCGATCGCACTAAACCCAAACAACCACCATTTCTCTCATCTAACTACCCAAGTTGCTGCTAGAAGGACGTCAAGGCCGAGGCTGGCTGAAAACAACAAATTCTTCTCCCTTATAACGAGACTGTGTTATGGCTCTCTGCGATACACCCTTCAAGGCCACCAAGGTTGGCTGTAGGACTGTTTACTTCCGCCCAACCAGGTGAAGGGATACTCTCTCAGCTGAACACAGGATACACATACACACACATGTATACAGACACAGACATACCCTCACCCCCTCCTCCCTCCAAACGCCTCAGATACTTGCCTCCAGCGCAGAGATGCTGCAGGACTGGATGCTGCTGTCTACACCGGAAAACTCTCACCCCATACCCACCCTTGTTGCTTGTGATGTGTTCTCATGGTGTAAAGATTCATGTGCGTTTTGTGCTGAGGAGTTTTTTTGTTTTCTGTTCTCATACTGATCTCCTACTAGAAGCTCAGTCTGAGATAAGTTCTCTTTTTCTCTCCTCCAATTGTGTTAAAATGTACAAAACAGTGATGTCATGTTTTGTGACGAGGACCCAGGCACAGAGAGACTTGATGAATTTA